GGTGTGATTGGAGTTCTTGTTTTGACACACGACAGTAGTTTTTGTATTTTCTTAGGAGATTATTTGGTCTCATGGAAGTAAGTATAAGAAACAAACCACTGTTTCCCGATCATCTACTGAAGCAAAATATTGAACCTTAGCAGCTGTCACAAGTAAACTGATTTGGATCCCACAATTGCTTACTGATCTCTATCTGCCTTTTTCTCCACCTGCTGCTGTTTATTGTGACAATCGTGGTGCTATGTCCATTGCTTATAACCCCACTTTTCACGAACGTAGTACTAAACATATTGAGATCGAGTGTCATTTCGTTCGTGATAAAGTGTCTGATGGTTTTTTTAAAGTTATTATCTATTCGTTCGAGCTCTCAGTTAGCTGACATGTTCACGAAAGCTCTCCCTTCTTCTACATTGCGGTTTCTTATGTCCAAACTGGTTGTTTTTTATGTTTACACTCCATCTTGTGGGGGAGTATTAGAGTTTGTTAATATAGTTTGTTATTAACTCATATTAGTTAGTTGGTTACACACAAATTGAGTGTATTTATATGTGATGACTTACATTTGTATGAGAGAATGATTCATTAATAAAGTTCTCTCTCTCTCATCCTTTTACACGTAATATTATCAAACAAAAGATGGGTGTACATATACATAAAATATAGTTATGTGTTAGAAAGCTAAGAAGAGATGGGAGCTCGTAAAAATGGAGGTTAATTAGATAGTATTAGAAAGGGACTGGAAAAGTTTAGGTCGACCAAGACCACAAAATAATTATGAGACAAACGACATAACAAAGGTTCATAATGTGGTAAAATAAAGAGTAATTAATAACATTAACAATAACCAATTAAAGTAGAAGACGATGTGATGCAAATAGAAGGTGACAAGTACACCCAAAAACTAAAAAGAAAAAGCGGACCGATGACCACAACCCTTGCGCTTCCTCCTCCACATTTGACACTGTAATATGCAAAACAAAAATAATATGATAATGTTTCAGAGGAAAACATCAAAATACAAAACATATATAATATATATTCATTATATATGGTTATTAAATTTGCAGGGGAGAGGATGTAGTATACTATACTTTTAACTTTTTGGAATACCATAATGTGTTGAGAAGTCGATCCTGTTAAGAAACACATCGGTGAGAACAGTGGCGGAGCGTAGAGAAGCCCTTAGCAACTTCACACCCTAAAAGTTAAACCACAAAACATTCGACAATAAGTTTTAAAATCCCACCAACACCAGCCTCGGATGTTTTTGTAGTAAACATATTATGATATACCTCTTTCGTGTCCAAATATATAAGCTTATGCTCAACCTGCCCAACATCCTCCACATTCAAGTCATTCAACACCGAAATAGTGGACATGGAACACATGGGCTTCACGGTAAGATCATCCATCACCATGTATCTAAACATCCCTTTCACGTAACCTCCCTCGATTGGTCTTGCTTCACCAGCTTCATAAACATATTCTACACTGCTGCACATTTCAAGCTTGCATCTGGGACAGCACTTTCTACACACAGTAGTAAAATACTTGCCACAATGGGCACTAGAACATCGATAGTAAGATTTTGATGCTGAAGAAGATTCGATTTGCAAGAGGTTTCCAACTTGAGATTTAGTGATTGGGACCTTGGGCTTTAGCAGGCTGTCTTTGATCAGGCTTCCCTCAAAATAGTTGGCATTCAAGGCATCCACGCTGCGGTAGAGATTGCCGAGGGGGCCAACCATGCCTTCCGTGGAGAGAAGCCTGATGACGGTTCCCACGGGAAGAGCAAGTATGGCGAAGAGGAAGTCGATGAATTTCTTGTCGGCTTCACCATATAGAATTCTCTGCCCTTTCTTGTCAATAATGAGCTTCAAACTCACCTGGGTTTCGGTAGACATATCGTTCTTGTCCGATGTCTCTGTTTCCTCTGGCTCCCTCGTCTTCCCTTTTTGAACTATAATACTGTTTGTTTTTTGACGTTTGGGTTACAGAGATATATAGAAGGGAAGAATTCTATGTATGCATGCATGGGACTGTCTACTTTCTGTCCAAGAAAAACTGTATGTGCGACTCTTGGTAGTTCGTGGTAATTGTCTGCGTGAGATCATTTAATCATATGATATCATGGCCGGTAGCGGTGAACATAGGATCCGAAAAACCGTGCGGACGGACCAAAAATAGGTCAGTCGGTCGGTTTTTGGCATAGGTGATTCGGTTGTCGGTTTTGAAAAATCATAACCAATGAGTCAATCGATCGGTTGGTCGGTAGTCATGAACCCATCGATATCGACTGATCGATGTTCTTCATCTCTTGAGTCGTTTGAATGAAGACACCTGATTGGCCCGACTTTCCCAAATGCCCATCACATGCCCTTCTCCTTCCTGCGTTTGGATTTTTTGTGTCTTTCAGTCGTGGTCGAGAAGGAAGAAAGAAATGAATGAATGTTCTGATGAGAAAATGTAAAATTAATATACCTAGCCAGACGAAAGTTAAAGGTGAGTCTCGTACACGTATCGAATCGAAATAAGATCTCAGATTACATCTTGATACAGTTATTTACCATAATAATAAATAGAGTCAATGATGACTTGGCCGTGGGAAGAGCGTCATAATTATTAAAAAAATACATCTTAATATTTTATAATTTATATTAAATAGTATTATTTTACATTTGGATAAGAATTTTTTTTTTGCAAAGTACATTTGGATAAGAACTAATATGTATTAATATAGTATTAGTCTAACATGTATTTTGAATTTTTTTAGAATGTGTATACTTTCCTACCTAATAATGATTATTGATTTGTCTAAAGTATCGTAAATAATGAAAAATATTGTGTGAAAGAAAATAGTAACAAAAATTAGAAAACACTATATAGTATATGTTACATACATATAATTTGTTTAGAAAACATGAAAGGAAATCAAATTAATTAAAAAAACGTATTTGAAAAAAAAAATCCAACAAACTGCGTCAATATAGACAATTCAACCGATCGAACCGTTCCGTCTATCGACTGGCACATAATGAAATAGAAAAACCGTCGGTTTACACAATTTAAAACCGACAATGTCCAATTTCGATAGAGGCGTCGGCCAAAAAACAACCCTGACCAACCGATGATCGGCCCGTCAAGTTTCATTATTTTCAAATATACATACTAAAATTGGTTTTAATTTTTTGTATGTAAATTAAATCATGGCCACGTCACTGTCTTAATCCCAGATCCACTCAACTATAGGATAAATCATTGAATAACAACGTCACGATCGGTTAATAACATACAATTAAATTAAATTAAATTTAACGTGTAAAATTATCAACCACATTGTATTCGCCTCTTCTAATTTTTCCAACTTTAGGCTTTGAATATTTTAAATAATAATTATGTAGTCCATGCACGTGACCCTAATCCCAAGTTTAAATTATTTTAAGGATATTTGTAACGGATAACTAAAATACTTTAACGACTTTTAGGTTTTTGCAATATGATTTAAAATCATATTTTTCAAACTTTTAGTTATTTTAATTTTATCATTTTAGATTTATCAATGACATATCAAATGAGGTATATATATAAGGTACTGTTGGGAAAATTTACTCATCAATAATATCTTTCCCTTCCAGCACAGTTTGTCAATGAAAACTAAATCACACACAATACTAAGAAAAATAGGGAAAACACAGAAACGACACAAGCATACTGGTTCACCCCAACTATGGGTTACGTCCAATCTTCCACAACAATGGGTTCTACTATGATTTGGAGATAAATACAATGAACCTCACAAACGCTTTACAAAGCTCTCTCTAGATGCCACAACAATGGCCACCTAACTTCTAAACACTACGACAATAGCTATTTAGGCATAGAATGAAAAACCTCACTAGAACGAGCTGTCTACAAAGCACTAGAAACTCTTGTTCTCCTTCTGTTCTCTGCCAATTTGCCGCCACTGCCACGTTTGTGCACCAACACACGCCGCCACCTGCCTTAATGGCTAGCCACAAAGTTTTTTGATTTATAAAACAAAACCTAAAGACAATTAATATAATTGGGCTTTAATGTTATTTAGGCCAATTAACACCTATTTTATTTTGGAGTTTGACTCCACAAATTTATCCCAACAGGTATACAAGGTATAAATCTGATCTTCTCGGTGTGTTCCATCCCCGCCTCTATGCTCTATCATCGTCTAAGTATATGACTGTCTCTGAAGCTTGGAACTCATCTTTGTTGAATCTGCATCCCGTAGACCATTGCTACAAAGAGAGAGAGAGTATAATTGGAGCGATGCTTCCATGACTCTCGAAACACCTTCCACAACCACATTCTTGTATATATCTCGTTGCCTCAACCAAAGATATCACTTAGGAGAGGTCAAACTAATAGGACTACTTTTATATCAATTTTCATGACTTAATAGATCGCCTTGCTTGTCTTCGAACATTTTTTGTCCGATCTATCAGTCATCAATCATTTTTGTTGAGGATTTCTACTACATAATTAGGGTTTTAAACTATAAATCTAATACAACTCATTAAAAATAATGGTACTCTCAAATATCTCCGTGATAGTATTTATATCTATTATTTTGGACACAATTTTATGATTCTCCTTTTAATTTTACCTAAAAAACAGTTTCAATAGATGTATATTTTATGGACGACCTTTGTCTAGAGCTAACAAGTAATAACAAATTTTACTAAAGAAACATATATATGATGGGAAAAAAAAATCATGAGACAAAATCTCATCTTATCCCGATTTCATGATGGAGCTGCCTCGATGTTAGGAAGCAGAAGAGTAATCATTTACTTCCCATAGGAACTTGATACAAATTATTGGATACATCAACGTGAGGTGCCTCCATTTGACGCAGCCACGCAAAGCCAAATTTCTAATGAACTTGGATTATTCAAGCGCCAGCCACACTACATATAGACCACCGCATAGCGCATATCTTTGCACCATTCTAAAATTTGGCAACAATGGCAAGCGCTTATGTGAGCTTGAAACTTTTGATAGATTCAAAAGAACAAAGGGTGCTTTTCAGTGAAGCAGACAAGAATGTGATCGATTTCCTCTACAACCTTCTAACCCTCCCTCTTGGGACTGTGATTAGACTGCTCAAAAAGCAAGGCATGGTGGGTTGCTTGGGAAATTTGTACGAGAGCGTTGAAACTCTGAACGACACGTATTTGCAGACTTACAAGAGCAAAGATGTCCTTTTGAAGCCCAAAGACTCATCCTTTCGTTCCACCTTGCTTTTACCTAACCTTGATTTAGATTATTTACCTGCTGCAGCAACTACTACCATCTATTTGTGCAAATCATCTGCTAATTATGCTGACTGCCGTTGTTCAGTTTCTGATAGTCCTAATGCGATTTGTCCAACATATAAGCGTTACATGAGCCAAGTGGGCACGTTTGTGAAGCCAGCAAGTGCAAGTGCAAGTGCAAGTGCAAGTGCAACCACACAGGTAGTGGCCACTGGGGAAGACGAGGGGGGATTTGTGAAAGGTGTGGTGACTTATATGGTGATGAACGACTTGACTGTGAAGCCCATGTCCACCATTTCAAGCATAGCCCTTTTGAACAAGTTAAATGTTAAGGAAGTTGGTTCTTTGAAGGAAAAAGTTGTTACTTTCGGTGTCGATGAGGTAATCTATATCCCCCTAAACCAAGTTTTTATTTGGTTACTTACAAATATTGTATATATCTTTCAAGAGAATTGGGGAAAAGTTATAAATTTGGTTTTGTTGGTTTGATCTTTGTAGGGTGTGAAATTGTTGAAGGCCTCTCTTCATTCCAAGACTGTTCTCACCGATGTCTTCATGGAAAGGAAGCTGACTATTTGAAGATGGTGTTCATTTTGATGATGTCAAGGCCTTTCAATTTTGTTGTGGTTGGTTTTGGAATCGATCTCATCAAACTTTTGGTGTTCAGTTTTGATGTGATCTTTTTTTTTTTTTTTTGGAAGGAGAGGTGGTTGGTTTTTGTTGCCTGTGTGTGGATTTTGTATTTAACAATGTAACTCTTCATGTTTTTATTAAGTTTCTAAAGCTAAGATCAATTTTAATTTATATGGTATTATTGTATGTTAATTTGATGGATTATTCACTTTAAGCACTCCTCAAGTACATAACGACTATTTTCATTGTAAGTTTGGATAAATTTTGACGATGGATTGTAATTAAGTTCTATTAAATTTTATATTTTTAATATATTTTTTATTTTTTGAGTTCAAGTTCGATCTCTTGTTATTACCATATGTTCGTTTTTCATTTTCACACAGTTCATAAATATTTCAAATCGTCTAGTGTTAATAATCGTATAATTGATTCATTGGATCATGTTCACACGGAATTTTCGGAGAAATTATAATTCGTAAATATGGATATTTGGGATTTGTACAACCTTTATATTGACTAGTTGATCTGGATCGACAATCCCATTGAGTTATTGTTTTCCCTTAGTGGCTTCACATACGTACTCTTTCTTTTATGAATGTGGGATCCTTAACATGCCTCCTCGGGGTTCCATCTCAAAATCAATTGGCAATGAGAGGAGTAGCTCATGTCTATTATAAATCATTGTTAAGTCTCTTCTTTTCCTTAACAAGCCACGAAAGTATATATACCTAAATACTGGCCGAAGGAGGGGAATCATCAACAATATAAGGCAAAAGCAACGAGGAATTGAAAAAGGAGACGACTTTGGGTTTCAAAAGGGTGTCTCTGTTGTGGTTTGGCAGCAAATACGCCTCGTTCATGGTTTCCACGCTTTCGTACAGATTTCTCAGACAACCCACCAACCCAATTTGGTTTTTGAGCAGCCTACACACAATTCCAAGTTGAAGGGAAAGTAGATGGAAAAGGAAGTCCACCACGTTCTTGTCTGCTTCAGCGAAAAGAATTCTCTGTCCTTTTGGGTCTATCAGAAGTTTCAATCTCACGTTATCCTTTTGCGCCATGATGTTTGATTTCAATTAACGCTTCGGTAACAGCAGTAATGAATGCTATTTACAAAGGGAAGTCGCGCGGGCATAGAGAATGTAAAAGTGTAGGGTAAGATTTTTTTGCTCCGCCTATTCAAATTTTAAATTTCCCTTCTGCTTCTGTTTCCAAAGCGTATAAAGTTGCAGTTTTGTTGTCTTTTTAAGGCAAATTGCAAAATCCACAAGTAGGATAATTGCGACAGTTACACCTCTAAATTTTTAAGGGTAAAAATTGAACTCTCAAATTTTAGTATAAATATTGCTATAATTACATCCTAAACTTCCAATGTAAAAGTTAAAACCCGAAACTTAAACTGCAAAAATGAAACCCTAAACTTTCAATCTTAGAATACGCACAATCCACCTGCATTGCTTCAATTTCGTACTGTCGATTATCATCAAATTTCAACCCAAATTCAAAAGATTTTTACAAATTTATATGAATCACATCTTCTTCTTACCTCGTCTGTTTTCGAACAAAACCTCCACTTAATGGGGCCGGAGATTGATTTGCTTAGCCAGCCAGCGCCAGTTTCTGATTATGCACCGATTTCAAATTGGAATTCCAAAACATGATTTTAGAACAAGGGTTTCAAATTCTATTTAATCGAAATCGAAGGACTTTTTAGAATCCATATAAACAAATTAAATTTATTCAATCCAATTTAAGTTTTTTAGTGGTAGTTTATTCATCCTTAGACTGATTTAGAAGGATTTAAGTCGTGTTTTCTACTTCAATTTGAAATATTAAAAAAAATTGAATAATAGATAAAGGCATTAATTCAAGACCAACATCATCTCAGTAAAAAAAATTGAGTAATAGATAAAAACATTAATTCAAGAACAACATCATCTCATTAGTAATTTAGATGTATCTTTGAGCAAGAGGCTATATGAATTCAAATCCCCTATTTCAACTCTTTATACCAAAAAAAAACATTTATTTAAGTTTGGTTTTTAGAAATCTTGTTATACTCAAAATAAAAAAAAACTTCATTAATTTAAGTTTGGATTGATTTTTTATCTCTGAATTCTGGTCTCTTATTTGAAGCATTTGGTTGGAGAGAGAAACAACTAAGCTTTTCTCCATTGTGTATAAAACAACAGCCATCTTCGAGGACGACATCAGTGATTTTATCCAGTCACATCTATGTGTTTCTCACATAAATATCTTTCATTAAAAAAAATGAAGGAGAAGAAGAGGAAAGAAAAAGTTTGGTTTTATCTTATTATTGCAAAACTAAAAATTATGTATTTTTCTTTAATTTTAAATTTAAATTGCAATCTTTATGATTTAGAAAAGTTTAATTTTTTTTATTAATCCAATTCAACATTTATCTAAAGAGTCCGGTACTGCAAACAAATACAATTAGCCAGAGCATCGAATACGAATACAGTATATCTAAAACACCAAAACCAACACCATAAGAATTTTACGTTAAAGGAAACATTATTCTGATTGAACAAGAAGTGATACATTAGATAATACCCCGAAGAAAATACTAACAAATTACTTAAATTCAAGTATGAAATTTAAACATTTGATCGCATCCTTCAGAGTGTGTGAAACAAACCAACTCTCAAGTTATCACCTTCTTCAAGAAAACATCAGTGAGAACAGTCTTTGACTGCAGAGATGCCTTCAACAATTTCACACCCTACAAACCCAAAACAAACATGATCACGTCCTTACATAAGATATTTTTTTCTGTTTTTCAAAAAAAAAAAAAAAAAACAAAGATACCCCTAGCAACCAGTGGCGTAGTGGGCTTGCAGCCAAATGGGGACCCTCTCCAATTAGAGTCCTACCCAAACTTTGGAGACAAGTCGCACAACATCAATTATGGTGTTGGGTGGCTGTCAACCCTCCTTATTATAGGGACCCACACAACATTGATTCAAGAAAATAAAGATGATTGCTAGTTTTTATGTAAAATTGTTACCTGATTAAAATCCATAGTGATGATTTTCTCCTCCAAAGCCCCCACTTCCTTGATGTTAAACTTGTTCAAAAGAGTAATACTAGAGATGGTGGACATTGGCTTGACAGTCAAGTCATCCATCACCATATAAGTCACCACATCCTTCACATACCCTCCCTGATCTCCCACTCCCTGAATGCTTCCACTTGGTGGCTGCACATAAGTATTCACTTGAGCCATTTTCTGCTTGCACTGTGGACAAGTCGCATTGGGGCCATCAGAAACGTAAACACGACAGTTGCCATAACCAGCGTAACTGCATCCATAAAATGTAGTTGCGGCGGTCGAGGCTTCAACGCTAGGCAAAAGCATGGTTGAGCCACAGGACGAGACCTTGGGATTCAAGAGTGTGTTTTTTATCTGCTTTGACTGCAAATAAGTGTCGTTCAAGGTTTCAACACTGTCGTACAGATTCCCCAAGCAACCCACCATGGTCTGCTTTGTAAGTAGCCTGATGACAGTCCCCAGTGGGAGGGAAAGTAGATTGAAAAGGAAATCTATCAGGTTCTTGTCGGCCTCGCCGAATAGAACTCTGTTCCCTTTCGTGTCTATCAGAAGCTTCAATCTCACAGCGGTTTGATTTTGCGCCAATACTAATTGAATTTGATGGTTGTGAGTATTCAGTCCCACTGATGATCCGAGTATATATATATATTGTATGATGTTTCCCATTGACGATTCAATATCCCCATGGCGTTAATTGTGCAAACCAATAACTTTTATTTGATGTGCCCATTGGATTTCCACACCGTTTGATCTACTTTCTATTTCCAAGGCGTTTAATAATAACTTTGTGTGTTCAAGCCTCCCCAAACTCAGTTGTGATTGAATCAAAGTTATCATATTTTTATATTTCTTTTCCATCTCGCATGATTGAGAAGAATGAAAAAAATCCGAATGAAATTAGGGTCTTATTGCCATTTTTTCATTAGATATGCTAAAAGAAAAATACATGTGTTTGTGTTTCTCCATAAATATTAATATGATATCAAAGTCCAAAAATACTAATGAATCGACCATGATCAATGAGCCAAAAGAGCCACGATCACAGTAATGATTTTGACACTCCCAAACACACCCTAAATTTATTATAAGTAGGATAAGAAAACACTTACCGATTAAAATAAAGAAACCTAACCTAAACACAATAGAAAATTAAAAGAAAATAATATAATTTAACACTCCCCTCAAGGTGGTGAATGAATATTTTCCATTTCTAGCTTGCTAACCAAATGCTCAAAGTTGTTGTTGTGCAATCCTTTAGTTAGGATATCTGCTATTTGATTATTTGTTGGTATAAATGGAGTACATATGAAACCGCTGTCTAACTTGATCTCTTTTATGAAGTGTCTATCAACCTCAACATGCTTGGTTTTATCACGTTGAACTGGATTATGTGCAATATTGATGGCAGATTTATTATCACAGTAAAGTTTCATAGGCATTTCCCATGGAATCTTCAAATCTTCTAAAATAATTTTTATCCATGATAATTCGCAGATGCCCAATGCCATTGCTCTAAATTCTGCTTCTGAGCTCAATCTTGCAACTACATTTTGTTTTTTACTTCTTCATGTCACTAAGTATCCACCAAAGAAAGTACAATAACCAAAAGCAGATTTTCTATGGTCTATCGATCCTGCATAATCTTCATCTGTATAAACTTCTAGATTGAGTTTCTCGCCTTTCTTAAACAACAACTCTCTCCCAATGGAGTTTTTTAAATAGTGAAGTATTTGGTACACTACTTGGAGATGAACTTCTTTTGGACTATGTATAAATTGACTTACCACTCCTATAACATACGTAATATCTGGTCTCGTATGAGAAAAATATATTAATTTTCCAACTAACCTTAAGTTTCCTTATTTACTGAATGACACTCTTCAGATGCACATAATCTATGGTTTTGATCAATTGGCGTTCCTATCGGTCTGCTGCCAAGTTTTCATGTTTCAGAAAGTAAGTCAATCACATATTTTTGTTGTGGTAGGAATATGCCTTGTTTAGAATAGGCAACTTCTATTCTAAGGAAATGTTTCAGCTTTCCTAATTCTTTAACTTCAAACTCTTTGATTAAACAATTTCTCAATTTATCTTGTTCGTTATTATCATTACCAGTGATAATAACATTGTCGACATAAACAATTAGTTTTGTCACTCCCCCTGCAGTAGAATATTTTAATTTATAAATAATGTAGGATCTCCCTAACTTTGTTTATAGCTCATCTTCCTCATAACTTGAGAAAATCTACTAAACCATGCCCTAGGAGATTGCTTTAATCCATACAACACCTTTCTTAATTTACAAACTTTATTTCCTACTTGCTCATACCCAGGTGGAATCTCCATATAAATTTCTTCTTCAATATCACCATGCAAAAAAGCATTTTTTACATCATATTGTAACATGTCTCATCCATGATTTACAGCAAGAGATAGAATTATTCGTACTGTATTCATCTTGGTAACGGGCGCAAAGGTTTCAAGGTAATCAACTCCATATGTTTGAGTATATCCTTCCGTGCTTTGTACCTCTCAAGTGTTCCATCTACTCTATATATATCCATCGACATCCTACAGCTTTCTTATCTTTAGGCATAGTTACCAGCTCCCACATTCTATTTTTTTCTAAAGCCTGCATTCAAGATTCATTGCTTGCCTCCATTATTCATGTTGTATTGCCTCCATATATGTTTTTGGAATATTTACCTGAGTAAGATTAACCATGAAACTTCTGTACTGACTTGAGAGTTTGTCATATGATACAAAGTGATCAGACAATGGATACTGAGTACAAGTTTGTTTTCTCAGGTCTGACTCATCATTAGCAGATATTGTAATGTCTGATTCATCACTGATTCTTTTAACGTCAATTTCAGTTCCAGAGATATGTTCAGACTCTTGGACTTGTGTATCCTTTTCAATGTTCTTTCTTGAATAAACCTACCGTAGTAGAAAGGTTAGATGGCCCARGTGAGGTGTCTTTAACGAAATGGTAGATAAATTATAATCATAAAAATGATGGGATTTTGAGGACCAAATTGATGTCAAGACTTTAATATCCTCCCAAAGTTGAGGAGAACTTGATTTCAATATTGATTTTGACCCCTCATTTAAAAATGCACTTAGTAATATTAGACAATCACCTAATTAATTGTCATGTTGTAGTAGTTTCTTGGTAAAATTTTTGTTTTTATTTTATGATAAATATTTTTCGTTTGGTATGATTTATCAAAAAAATAAAATATATTTGATTTCAATATTCATTTCCTTTTCAAAATCAAATGTTTTTAAATAAAATTTGAAAAAAGTAATAAAATCCAAAATATTTTTTAATTAAATATGAATTTTCATATTTTCCCAAAATAAAATCTTTCAATAAAAATAAAATAAATTCCTACTTATTTGAAAACCTTTCAATTTGATTTAGAATATTTGGATAAAAATCAAAATCTTTAATAAATTTATTAAAATCATGAGATTTGATTGATTGTATAATTAATGAAAATATTTTTTTATTTATAAATTAGGATTTTGAATTCTGGTGTTGGTTTTGGTCAAGGGAGGTCACGAAGCACATCACGAAAAAAAACCCACAATTTCTCTCCTCAATTTTTTTCATCGGTCTCTCTCCATTTTCATTTCTATTTTCCTTCCATCAATTTTTTTTCTTTGTTCTTCTTTTTTATTTTCAATCTATCACTCTCTATTCTTCGTTCTTGTTTTTTTTTCCTCTCATATTCTTTCAATTTCCCTTTGTTCTGTTTCACTCTCAAAGATTCTTTTAAACGTTTTCTCTCTTACACTCATCATAATTCTCTTCTATCTTCTTCTCTCTTTTTTTTCTCTACTTGTTTTGTTTCCATTTATTTTCTCCTTTTTCTTCTTTTCCTTCTTATTTACTTTCTCTTAATTTTTTGTTATGGGGCTATCTTCACCACAATTGTGTCCTTCAACTTTGATTTGCGTTACAAGTGAATAAGGAAGAGAAAAATCAAGTTTTGTTTCCAATACGGTAAGTTTTCATGTTTTCATGAAATAAAAAAATAAAAATAGGTTGGTTTACTTCGTCGTATCTTGTTTTAGTCGTATTCTACTTACGGAGTTTAATTTTAATTCATTCATACTTTAGAATACTTTTTTTTTGTTTATTTAGTTCCGTTTTTGTTATCTATTTTATTCATTTATCTCTATTGTTAATTTTACCCAATTGTTTCTTGTAACATCACATCTGATTGATTCACTTTTCTAATATGTTTATTTATGTTACAAGTATAATATTTGGTAAACATGTATATATTTTTGTTAATTTCATTATAATATTATTTGGTGGAGATTATTTTAACTTAAAAGATACAAAAGAAAATTTAGGATGATGGAATCACGAAATTTTCCGGAGGCCAATGTTCTTGGATTCTTGATATAAAAATCAATATCTCGTGAGGCCAAGATTTGATTTTTAATACATTTTCTAAAAAAATGTATAATTTAAATCAATATTATTTATTCTCATATTTTGCTTAAAAAAATAATTAAATTAATAATACAAATGGTTTGCATTTCATTCATTCCTAAAAACTTAATTATACTTCCAGGCAAATAAATATTTTTTCTTTAAAAAATAAAAATATATTTCGTTTTTGTAAATCTTCTTTTATAAAGAAAATTTTGTTGTAAAAAAATACATTTAAATTTTTATAATGGCATTTTCCTCGATAAAGTTGGTTGATTAGGATAAAATAATTGTATCTCTTGAATGCACATTTTCCTTTTGATGCATACGATTAAAAAAATAGCGAAAAAAAGAGAACCAACGTTTAGATTCTATCATTTTTTAGAGGACTCCTTAGATGACTCTTTCTAACTTCTAATGAAGGAGCTTTTTCTTCCCTTCGATTTTTCAAGAAAGGCGAGTTTTGTTAAATTTCAATAAATAAAAAACCAATTTATTTAATTTTTAATTTATCAAACTAATGATATATTGTTTCATCAAGATCAAATTTAAATTGCAATGTCATTTTTTTTGTTCCCGAATGGTCTTCTTCAATTCTTTTAGGTTTATCCTCTACCCCAAGTAAAGACCTGCTCGATTTAGATTTGCACATATAGGACAAATGCCCCAATACCATGTCCTTACCCATATCTTTTTGTGCAGATTAACTTATCCATGCATTTGAGTGGCCTTAGTCTAAAGGTTAAATATGTTCAAAGCCATTTTAAACCATTTATCAAGCTCATGGACTAGAGATAGTTTTTTTTTTTTTTGAAAATTTACATAGAATTTCAAAAAATATAAAATAGAAAATTGAATTAGGCCACGTTTACTTATGTGCGTAATGAAATCAATCGTAATAAAAATCAATCGTAATGAAATCAATCGTAATGAAATCAATCGGAATTGTAATGTTATTCCATTGGTGTTGTTTACCATAAATTTTATGGAATCGTAACCATAATTTCTTTGATGTTGTTTACTAAAACTGTCTGGAATCGGAATCAGATATATAACAATTACTAATATATCATTTCTCCTTTTTAGCTAAGTACAAATATATTATTGTGTTAATTTTTTTTAAATTACAATAATAATAAATTTAATTTAATTTATTACTATATTATTGATAGTAAATATTTTTTATTATAACCACTAATCTAATATTAATACATAATAAATAATTAAAATAAAATTACATCAAATAAAATATTTTTTATTAGAACAACCAAAACTCTAATCTAACATATTATTAAGTTTTATTATTCTAATATATAAAGGTAAAGATATTTATTTAAAAAATTTATTGATATTAATTAATATTAATTTATCATATTATATAATAAAATTACATCAACTAATAAAAATTAGAATATAAACGGAGAAGAAATTATAAAAGTATAAAAAAATAATTAAAAATTATATCGATCTAATTCATAGATGAGAGACAAATGATAAAAGGAATGAGAATAAGATTATAACATAACATATTATGTTATAACATAACATATTATGGTCCACAGAATAAGGAATGAGAATAAGATTAATAGGGTCGTAGGAGTGTAATGAGATTGTGATTATACTTTTTATGTAATGGGATTACAAAGTTTGAGGTTGGTCCCATCATTTGATTACATTCCTACCATTTGATAAACACCATCAAAGGGAATCAAATTTTTCATTACGATTCATTGATTACGATGGCGGACGAGTAAACGGGCCTTAGTTATCAAACAAACGTATATATATTATGAAATTAACTCCCATTGTGATACATATTTTAAGCATTTTGTTGTCAGTGTTCAAAATATTATTCGAAGTACTAAAAGATCGAAATTTAGTTTCATTCCTAACCTTCCAAATTTAGTTTTGAAGAGGTTCGAACCACAGGTGTAACATTATTCAAATTCAGATTTTAAATTAATAAAATTGAAAGTATGGAGTTATAAGTAATTTCACAAAATTAATTAAAAGTCATGCCCGACACTCATTAATCAATAAAAACTAAAATAGGAAGATTAAACACACATAAAAATTCAACAAAAGTTCTACGGAAAAATAAACTATAGAAGAAAGTTTATGCACCCATTCATCTGCTACAATGGACTCTGACTATCTACTCTTCTTTTATTAATATATCTTCTTCCTATAACCACACTTTTTCTTCCTACTGATCTCCTGCAAAATGAGTCATAATTTACTCTAAAAGTAGCAAATATTAGCATAAAATGAATTTGTTTTATATTGTGATTTGATATCGTTAATAAGTTGAGGTATGCTAGCTCAAATTAACTAGGGAGAAAATGTTAGAAAATAGGAAGGAAAAACAAGTTGCTTTGATGTGTTTCAGGATATATATGTTTATAAAAATCCTCTAAATTAAATTTTAGTCACCAACCTAATTTAGTGGTAGATCATGAATTATCTAATTAATAGATGTATAAACAAATAACCTATGAAATGATTTATATCTAATCATATAATATATGATTCTAAGTTGAAATCATGTATTAAGCAGTGTTATTGAGGCACCCAGGTTGGGGAGAGGCAAGGCAATTTCGTCTCGGTGCGCCTTGCAACAAGTATCCAAGCAAGCGCCTTCAATCAGGCGCTCGCTTTAGTGCACCTCGGCATGCCTTTACACGCCTCTCGCCTCAGGCCAGGCGATCGTCTCACTGAAGTGAGGCAATCTGTCTTATTTTATTTATTTTTCTTTTAATTTTTAATGTGTTTTTTTTAAATAACCTTTCTCCCTTGCAAAATACATCAGTCCATAAAATCCTAACGAGTCTATCTGCCCCTCAACATTCACCTTCACCACCCTCAATCTCCAACCATGGCACGGCTCCTTTTTTTTACTAGATGCTAGTTTGAGTTTTGGACTTCCGTATTATCTCAAAATAAATAAGACAAAGTAAATAAGACAAAAGTTTGACAGTATCGTATTCAAAATAGTATGTTTACCAGGTGTTGTTGGGAAGTCAATCTTGTGAAGAAACACATCGGTGAGTACAGTTGATGTGCACAGAGAAGCCCTTAGCAACTTCACGCCCTACAGAAATCAACCCACAACAAAAGTCACATTAAGCAAACAAAAAACTAACCAAAATCAGCTCCAAAAACAAAATAAAAAGGACCTCATTGATGTCCAAATATATAAGCTTCTCTTCAATCTGGCCAACGTCCTCCACATGTAACTGATGAAGCACCGAAATGGTGGACATGGAGGAGGAGATTGGTTTAACAGTAAGATCATCCATCACCATGAACGTAACCATCCCCCCTTTCACATAACCTCCCATCTCAAGGGGTTTTGCTTCTTTAGCTCCGTAAACATAAGTTGCATTCGTGGTCATGGATTGGCCGCATCTGCTACATACTGCACCATATGTACCACTAAAACTATAACGACAGACGTTATAAGTACTAACATGACATGTATAGTAGGTGGTTGGTGGATGAAAAGATTGGATTTGCAAGAGGCTTTGGAGTTCATCAGACGGAGTGGCGGATGGAAGGTTGGGGTTGAGGAGAATGTCTTTGTTGCGGGTTGATGCAAAATAGTTGAGGTTTAAGGTTTGGTGGGTGCGGTAGACATTTACAATGGACCAAGTTTCCAGTGGCACGCCGGTGGAAAGCAACTTAACGACAGCTCCCAGAGGGAGGGAGAGTATGGTGAAGAGGAAGTCTATGAATTTCTTATCGGCTTCAGCGTATAGAATTCTCTTCTCTTTTTGGTCTATTACAAGCTTCAAACTCACCTTGCTTTCGGTTTCGCTTTGGGTTTGAGCTTTGGCTTCAGTTTGAGGTTGGGTGGTCATGGTGTTTCTGTTCTCTGTTTCCTGTGTTTTCCGTTTCTTGAACTAAATAGTAAATACTGCTTCGTTTGACGCTTCGAAGAGAGAATCTGAATGGTGAATACAAAAGGCCAAACAAAAACAAATTAATGTATGTGACCCTTCGTTATCTTTTATGCTTTCCTTCGCTTGTTTGCTTTTTGAGAAAGCATTCATGTTAATTGGAGATCATTTAATACGATGCCATGCCCCGAGCCCCATGAAGTTTATATTATTTGGACCACTCGGATTCGATTGGCTAATTGACGCTTAGAACTATAAAGAAATACAAGGAATAGACCGGGAAGACAAAACTAAACTTTACAGAATCACTCCCGTGTATGACCACATCCAAGATATAACCAAATCCAGGGCATGGACAGGTTTATTTCATGATCTCTAGGGTGTAGCCAGCTCTCGAACCACACACGATCCTAGCCAACCAATTCTCGACGGATCAGGTCTCGGCCAACCAAATCTAACTACTAAGGCTACCGATCTCTTGATTCAACATTTGGCCCGCAGCCCAGCAAGGTATGTTTCTTAAATACATCAAGATTCAAACCTCTATAAATATAACACTAAACTGAACCTTAAAGGTAAGTTGAAATACCCTAGTCTCCATACTCACTATTCTGATTCTGACTTAAGCATTGAAGCTTATGTGACAAGAATCACACTGGTGGTAGTAAGTACTATTTGATTTTGTATGTTTCGTCAATCCCTTTTATTCAAAGTTGGTGCGCATTTGCAAAATTCCAGGAGACCAAATTTCTACATCAACAAAGCAACTTTCAGAGGCGAAGAAATTCAAAACATTTCAAGTATGATTTCTACAATCGAGAAGCATCTACCAGAAACTCAAGTTCACACAACATGTCACAGTCAAGTTCAACAGGGTAATACAATACTATCAATTAGGGGTGAGCGTTCCAACTCGAAAAATCGAGCCGATCGATCGAAACTAATCGAAAAGAGTTCGGTCGATCGGTTTTGCCATGCGTCGGCTCTAGAAATTCAAAACATACTTGATGGGTCGGTCGGCGACCTTGGTCCAGGCAATACCGACTCACCGACAATGTAATATTAATATGTTTTATATATTTTTTTTAGTTATTAAAAAAATAATTAAACCTAGGGC